TAGTAGATGGTGATACAATTAACACTGTCCAATTAACACTGTCCAATTAACACTGTCCAATTAACACTGTCCAATTAACATAATTAATGAACTAGCTGCTTCTTCACCTTGTCACTGTTATAAAGCTGTTACCAATGTTACTTGTGACCATAGCCATGCGGTGGTGTTATGAATGTGTGCACTCCTCTTTATTTAATACGTTTACTCAAGGATTTCAGATCGATTGGATGTTACACACCGTCGTTAACTCTTAATGCTACATCCTCAGAAACAACGGAGCAGGTGTTCCTCTCAGGGTTTGGACAACATGTGTTTTTTTAAATAACGTCCCCCCTCTCTTCTCACCATATCTGAGTTCACAGATCTGCGAGTCCTTCTTCTTCAGTTTCTCACAGATCTTCTCCACCGGCGCGTGGTAGCTCAGAGGTTTGGAAACCTCGTTCACGATCTTAGTGGCGGCGTCGCTCGTCGCCCCGATGTAGTAACACTGGAGGAGGAGCAAAGATAAGGAGGAGAAACGGGAGGAATTAGGGGGGTTTTTAATCGCCTGAAACTCATCCATTGGTGGAGAGGATGTATTATTGATCTGCAGTCGACTTACGAAGCGGTTTTCTTTCCCTTTAGCATCTTTGCAGGTCTTTACGAGCGCCGTCTCGATGTCTGCGCTCTTAAAGTTGACGTTGTTGTCGTGCAGAGACTGGTAGAACTTCCCCAGGAAGGTCACACACACTGAAACACAGAGGAACCGTGAGTTAGACGAACATACACACTGAAACACAGAGAACCGTGAGTTAGACGAACACACACACTGAAACACAGAGAACCGTGAGTTAGACGAACACACACACTGAAACACAGAGGAACCGTGAGTTAGACGAACACACACACTGAAACACAGAGGAACCGTGAGTTAGACGAACACACACACACTGAAACACAGAGAACCGTGAGTTAGACGAACACACACACTGAAACACAGAGGAACCGTGAGTTAGACGAACACACACACTGAAACACAGAGGAACCGTGAGTTAGACGAACACACACACACTGAAACACAGAGAAACCGTGAGTTAGACGAACACACACACACTGAAACACAGAGGAACCGTGAGTTAGACGAACGAACACACACACACACACACGAACCGTGAGTTAGACGAACACACACACACTGAAACACAGAGAACCGTGAGTTAGACGAACACACACACTGAAACACAGAGGAACCGTGAGTTAGACGAACGAACACACACACTGAAACCGTGAGTTAGACGAACACACACACACTGAAACACAGAGGAACCGTGAGTTAGACAAACACACACAGAAACAGAGAGGAAACATGAGTTAGACGAACACACACACACACACACACTGAAACACAGAGGAACCGTGACACACACACACACAGGAACCGTGAGTTAGACAAACACACACACAGAAACAGAGAGGAAACATGAGTTAGACGAACACACACACAGAAACACAGAGGAACCGTGAGTTAGACAAACACACACACACACACACAGAAAATTAGAAAACCGTGAGTTAGACGAACACACACACACACTGAAACACAGAGGAACCGTGAGTTAGACGAACAAACACACACACACTGAAAAACACGTATGTACAATGCCTTGTCTTTTTATGCTGCTGCAACGCAAAAATGTCCAAATTGGGACCAATAAATCACTTCTTATCTCGTCTTTATGTGGATGTCAGGATTGTTTGTTTTTTTACATTAGATCAGGTTACGTTTATTGATCAAAAGGGAAAGGAAGGCATCCAGTAGCTTTCATGACAGAGCACGTGACCACAACTACCACAACATGTCTGAAAGAGACCTGAAGAATATCTGAAATGTGTGTAAAAATGTCAAGAAAGATGTCCTGAACATTCGGGAAAAGTTGCAGAAATATATCCACAACAAATGTTAAAAATGTCAGAAAAATTACCCGAAAGATTAGTGAAGAAATGTGTGTAAAGATCCTAAAAAATGACCAAACGTTATGAGAAAAGAAAACGGGGATTGCAGAGTACGTAGAAATATTAGGGTTCACTCCAGAGGCAGTTTTTCTTCCACAAAAATAATAAAATTAAGTGTTTAAATTCTACAAAAACCACCCCATCTTCACCGGATATTCCTACACTTTACAGACAGCTAACACCTCTATAAATAGAATAGAATGGGAGGGATGAAACCCTCTGTAATGGTCTCACATGCAGAGCACACAGCACACAGCGACATGTGTTCTCTGCTTTTACCCCATCCTAGAACCAGGAGTCTAGCACCAGGAGTCTAGCACCAGGAGTCTAGCACCAGGAGTCTAGCACCAGGAGTCTAGCACCAGGAGTCTAGCACCAGGAGTCTAGCACCAGGAGTCTAGCACCAGGAGTCTAGTAGTAGGAGCAGTGGGCAGCTATTGCACAGCACCCGGGGAGTAATAGGAGTGAGGGGGGGAAGGGGGGTGTCCAGTGCCTTGCTCAAGGGCACCACAGCAGGGCAGGAGGTGAACTGGGACCTCTCCAAGTAGCAGTCCACACTCCATATTTAGGTCTGGTCGGGGACTTGAACCAGCGACCCTACGGCTCACAGTCCAAGCCCCTACTGACTGAGCCCCTGCCGGACGAAAGGAGACGAATGGCCCTTGTTGACAGTTATCTGATGGTGGAGTAATCCATCAAAGCAAGCTCAGGTGTCTCATTTAAAATCTCTAGTAACTCAATACTGCCAGAAGTGAGTACTTTCTCTCTGTCAAAATGAGAGCAATTGAAACCCTGAAATCAGTGTAATGTGAAGTTTAAATGCATTTGTATTAAGGGAGAGTTATACAAGTGATTTTCATTTGAGCAGCAGCTGGGTTTAACACGATTAGAAAGGGTTGAATACAAGAGAAAAGCAGGTGAATCCTCACAACAACACAACTGGGAACCACTGGTTTACAGCAAAAAACATTTAAATGTAATTTATACAAGGCTTTGAATACCTAAAGCTGCTGTAACATAAATAATGTAAATGTGATAGTGGAGGAAATGCAAATGTAAGGCTAAAGTAAAGTTGTATTCTTCTTCTGGGGTGTCCCCTCTCCTGTAGTGCTTTATAGGTTTTAGTGCATGTAAATGGTCTGCAAGGCTAAAATCCCTGTGTTCCCTTAAAATGGAGTTTCTCTCCCACAGAAAAATAAAAATTAATAGTATATAAATTCTAAAAAACCGTACCATCTTTAACTGATATTCCCACACTTTACAGACATGAATAGACATTGTAATATATAATAAATGTATAATAAAAGCTGACATTTATCTGATGTTGGAGTGAGCTATGCTAAGCTAACAGCTCGCAGCCAGGCTTACCTTCACACTCTCCTTCCTTCAGGGCTTCAGAAGAACCGGGATACAGACTGAGAACCAGGGCCAGCGACAGCCCGCTTAAACACAACATCTTTCGGCAGAAAATACCTGAAAACTGGGTGGTTTTAATGTCTAGAACCGCTGGAAGAAGACACCGTGTAAGAGACTCAGACGCAGCCGGTAAAATGATTGTTTTCCGGTGCTGCGTCACACTAACTCGCCCCGTCATTGGTCGAGAGGTTCCACGCTTTTTCTGTTCCTCCACGCATTCTCCTCTGATTGGTCGAAGTCAGAACGTTCCGGGAGCAACGTCCAGTTGGCGCCGTGTGATTGGTCCACACAGTATTTCCACGTACAAATGTAAATAATAAAATAAGAAACCAATTATAATAGAGTACATTAAATCAATAAAATCAAAAGAAAAAAATACAATAAAAATAAATAAACAAAGCACATTCATTCTTGAAAAAAATTATATCTATAAATGATATTAAATAAAGGAATAATAATAATAAAGTATATTAAATAAATAAATATAGTATATTTATAATAAAACAAATGTATATAAAGTATATTAAATAAATAAAGTAAAAAATATAAATAAAGCATATTCATTCTTTAAAAAATAAATAAAAAAGCATATTAAATAAATGAATAATAATAATAAAGTATATTAAATAAATAAATACAAAAAATACAGATAAATAGTCTATTTATTCAACAAAAAAAAAAAAATTAATATATACAGTAAATAAAGTATATTAATTCAAAGGAAACATTGATCAGTTTTATATAGATGTGTTCCCTTTGTTTCTGCTGTTGTGAATATGTCTCTCCACGTATCACCACTGGATGGCGCTGTTTCATTGTTTGTGTGTCTCTGGATGGTTAAAGTACACATTGACCTCTGAACTGTAGAGGATTAGAACATGGAAATACTCAAGTAAAGTACCTCAAAAGTGTACTTAAATACAGTACTTGGGTAAATGTACTTCTTACCATTTAAGGCTTTATTTTGAGATTCAATTTGATGCGTTTTAAGGAAAAGCAGGAAACCCTCAAAATAAAGGGAAATACTCAAAAGTACCTCAAAATGGTAGAATCAGAATGGGAGGGATGAACCCACTTTAATGGTCTCACATGCAGAGCACACAGTGGCCTGTGTTCTCTGCTTTTAACCCATCCTAGTACCAGGAGTCTAGTACCAGGTACCAGGAGTCTAGTACTAGGAGCAGTGGGCAGCAATGGGAGTGGGGGGGAAGGGGGTTGTCCGGTGCCTTGCTCAAGGGCACCACAGCAGGGCCCAGGAGGTGAACTGGGACCTCTCCAGGTAGCATTCCACACTCCATCCAAGTCTGTTCGGGGACTTGAACCGGCGACCCTACAGCTCCCAGTCCAAGCCCCTACTGACTGAGCCTTAAGTTCTTGTGTAATTATACTTTTTTTACCATTGCACCGCTGATACGAGTGCCTGTGAAGAAACGACGGCACATTTTCAAACAAAGCCAGTCTTTATTGAGTGAAATGAGACAACAGCACATCACACTTCTGCACCAAGAGCTTTGGCAACTGCATCTGTAAACTGAAAACTTAATTTAAAACGAAGCACACAAGGAGGAGGAGGAGGATGAGGGGGGGAGGAGGAGGGGGATGGGGAGGAGGATGAGGGCGAGACAAAACTAATGAGACCAACATTTGTTTTCCTGTCAGTTTTAATGAAATGAGGAGGGGGATTTTCACCTGGGACAAACTCACGCCTGATCCATCTTCCTTCTACTGACATTCCTTCGAGGCCAACACAAAAACTCTACTTTATATTTCCTTATTATAATATAGTCTATTTGTCAGCTTAGTGAACCCGGACATGTTGAGGACCCCAAAGTGTTATGATATAAATGTATATTAGGGTCTTTAGGGCATAGAAACTGCCGGATGCTAACCTGCATACGTTGGGTAATTAGCACCATTAGCATAAGTTGCGTGTTGCTGTGGTTTTGGAGGTCGTTGAGGAAGCATACATCCTGTCATGTACTGTTGGCTTCTTTCTGAAAATCAAAAATTATGACTTTTTCTCAAAATTCTCACTTTCTAAAAAAAACTCAAAATTATGAGTTTTTCTCAAAATCAAAAATTATGACTTTTTCCCCAAATCTGCAAAATTATGACCTTTTCTCAAAATGACTTTTCCTCAAAATCTCAAATTATGACTTTTCCCCAAAATTATGACTTTTTCTCAAAATCTCCAAAATTAAGATTTTCCCCCAAAATTATGACTTTTTCTCCAAATCTCAAAATTACTTTTTCAGAAAATCGAAAAAATTACTTTTCCCCAAAATTATGACTTTTTCCCCAAGTCTCAAAATTCCCACTTCTTCTCAAAAGGCCTTTTCTAATTCAATTTCGGGATCAAAAATGGCAGTTTTGAATCCCCTAAAACTGTAAAAACGACCCAAAATGAATGAAAGTCAGTCCACAGAGAACAGAAACATGTCCTCTTTCTGGTTAAAAAACTGCTGTTTTTGATCCTAAAAATATCAGAAATGGATTCAGCATCCCCAATAACCTCCAAAACCACTCTTCAACTGTCCAAATCTGCCTCGCCATTTGTTAGATATTGTCCCCATACTGTCGGCTATAATTCCAATGAACACAACTTATGCTAACTGTGCTAATGTCCCAACATCAGCAGGTTAGCATCCGGCAGTTTCTATGTGCTGGAGACCCTACTGTACATTTCTATCATTAAACTTTGGGGTCTCAACGTGTATGAGCGGCATCAGACTTTTTATTTTAATCGTCTGTCATGACGAGCGACATCCTGTTAGCTATAAAGATTCACAAAATGCTACGTCTTTTAGCATTTGTAAGACATTTTAACACCACTTAAGGGGGTATTTTGAGATCCAATTTGATGACATTTAAGGAATCGCGGGAACCCTCGTAAACAACGGGAAGTGAAGTCCCTCAAAATTGTACTAAAGTCCTTCCTGATCCACGATACCGACATTCCTTCAACACAAAAACCTCCGTTACTTTATATTCCCGTAAGATATTATAATAGCATTTATTTTTTTAAGCGTACATCATCTCCGCCATGTGAGACTCTTCTTATATTATAATTATAAAGAATCACAAATGCTACTTCTTTTAGCATTTGTGAGACTTTTTAAAGACTAAATGAAGGCATTTTAACATAAACAAAGGGGAGTTCAAATCGTTCCTGTCCTGAGGCCGTCGACTCAAAACCCTCCTTTACATTTCCTTCTGATACAATAATAGTATTTATTTTTTCAAGTGTACATCATCTCCGCCATGTGAGACATCTTCTTGGGGATGTACAGATAATACTCCATGTATCCGGAAAGGTCCTCTATCGTGATGTCGTCCACGTAAGCTCTCGCCTGCTCCGAACACGACCGCGTGGATCCAGACGAGGAAGAAGACGCCGCGCCGCCGCCGCTAACGATAGTTCTTCCGCACTCAGACGTGGCGTTTCGGAGCCCCGTGAAGGAATAAACCTCGACTCCCTGCCACGTTTGAGACGGATCCCGACACCGACACGTAGACTCGGCAGCAGCGTTCCCGCTTTCCTTCCAAACGCAGGAGCAGGGAACTTCTGCCAGGCGCTCAGATAAAACTCGGAAATCCGCAGATCCAGAAAGCCTTGCTCCTTCGCTGGCGCTTTTCTCCTCCTCGCTCGACTCCCCGGACGTTTCCTGCGCCTCAAACCCGGCACACGAGCCAAACACCAGAGGGGGGATGGGGTTAGGAGAGCCCGACGATGAGAGCTCTTTCTGGGCAGCAGAGGAGGCTGTGATCCCCTCTCCTGGAGGACGAGGCTCCGAGGGATCGGGCACAGCGAGGCGTTGTTGCTTCAGGCAGCCACTAGGGGGCGATACTGACGCCGCTGCCGCGCTGCAGTACGTGAACTTGGGCGGGTGGAGGATCGGGGATTTGGACCTTCGGCGACGCTGCGTTCTGGAGGCTCCTCTGGAAGACTTCCTCATGCAGCTGAAGACAAGGCAAGGCAGGTTTATTTATAGAGCCCCTTTCAACGAGAGGCAATTCAAAGTGCTTTACAAAAATAAAAGACATTCAGAAAATAGCATTTAAAAACCGTCGTTAAAAACATTTCATTTAGCTGAGGCTTTTATCCAGAGCCACTTACAATAAGTTCATTCCACCAGGAAGATACAAACTTGAAGAAAACAGAATCATATATCACTGATATATGATTCTGTTTTCTTCAAGTTTGTATCTTCCTGGTGGAATGAACTTATTGTAAGTGGCTCTGGATAAAAGCCTCAGCTAAATGAAATGTTTTNTCTTTAGGAAAGGAGATACAATTCCTAACAGTCACAGCATTTAAAGTGATGAATAATTTAAACATCCGGATCGTGCCTACCTTTAGCTTAACGGTGGTGACTTGAAGTCATGTGACCGTGCTGTAGTTCCTTTATAGCCCAACATTAGCCTCCTTTAGCTTAGCGGTGGTGACGTGAAGTCATGTGACCGTGCTGTAGTTCCTTTATAGCCCAACATTAGCCTCCTTTAGCTTAGCGGTGGTGACGTGAAGTCATGTGTACCGTTGCTGTAGTTCCTTTATAGCCCAACATTAGCCTCCTTTAGCTTAGCGGTGGTGACGTGAAGTCATGTGACCGTGCTGCTGCATTTTGTACCATATACATATCTACACTGAACAAATATATAAACGCAACACTTTTGTTTTTGCTCCCATTTTTCATGAGATGAACTCAAAGATCTAAAACATTTTCTATATACACAAAATAACCATTTCTCTCACATATTGTTCACAAATCTGAAAAAATCTGTGATAGTGAGCACTTCTCCTTTGCCGAGATAATCCATCCCACCTCACAGGTGTGGTATATCAAGATGCTGATTAGACAGCATGATTATTGCACAGGTGTGCCTTAGGCTGGCCACAATAAAAGGCCACTCTGAAACGTGCAGTTTTGCTTTATTGGGGGGGTCTGGGGGGGTCCGAAAACCCTAGGGTTAAACCCTAACCCTAACCTAACATGTCACCCA